GATAGTCTCTGCAGCCACCGGCGATTTTATTCTCTCGTTTTAATTTTTACTATAAATATTTGTCTTTTTTCAGCGCATAGGCTTTATTAGTCAGATGCTTTAAATCTAAGATCTGAGGCTCGAGTCATTGTTTGGTGTTTGATGCAGTAAAAGCAGAAATGTCTACAGATCTGTGTTTGTTTTGTCCCGTTCTCCCTGGAAGACGTTCACAGCGACAGAACCAGCTGTTGTGTCTCTGCTTCTGACACTTATTAACCAGTGGATCTCTTTGCTGGGATAATTAGGCCGCGGTGCTCTCTGTGAGCCACACAACCAGAATAATGTTTCCTTTTTCTGACATCGTGCGCGGAACAAACGATCGTAAAGGAGCGGTTTAAAACCCTGCTGCTGTCAACCTTTGACCTCAGCCGTGAGGCGTCGGGCCATCTCACCTGGAGCGTGAAACACCTGCACGTACCAAAGTCTGTGGGAACATTCAGGACTTCTGGGAATTCTCCTCCACATTTTGAAAGATTTATGATTTTACAGCCACGATTTAATAACTGAAGTACCGTGACGATCCCTGCTGACATCCAGACTTTATTTTTAATCTGCAGCTTTATCCAATTATAAAACCTTCTTCAAAAAATTGTTCAGTCAGATTCTTTAACTTTAGGAAAGTTGGGCGATCATGTCTTTGCCTGTGTCTTTGTGTGTGTCTGGCTGTTAGCAAAATATCTGAAATTCTGGATGGGTTTTAATGAATGTAATCAAACAAACGGTTCTACAGGCGTTGAGCTAAAAGTTGGAGTGGTGGTAGCTGAGAGTCATACCAGGTGCACACTACAAGCCCTTGTTTGAAACGTTGTTGTGTAAATCGGCGGGTGACATGCATTCCTTCAGGAAACGCTGGTTTCTTCATAAACTAATGAAAGAAAATGCTTTCACACATTTTCACCTCCTAAATTTGTTTTGTGTGTCTTGTGCACGTGCAGCAGCTGCAGGATCTCAGTTCACCCTTTAACTCGCAAAGAAAACCTCCCGTAATCTCTGTTTTTTTTATTTTTTGGGTCTGACCTTGAACAACAGTAACGATCAGATCTGCTGCAGCGTTTGATGAAACCCTGACAAACGGTCGTGTTTTGTCTGCCTGTGAAACAACAGCAAGTTAAAATGAACCAGGTCCAACTTGAAGCGCTCCGTCAGCGTTTTCTTTGGGCCTCACCGTTCTTCATTTATCTTTCAGCCTTGAGGAAAAAAAAAAACATTTGTTAAAAAAAGTAATAAACACCGTTCTGCAAACTGTGACTTTGTACAAGCGGCTCTTCTTTTCTTTTTGAGTCTTTTCTGTCCAAACACCAGGACAACAGAACAGTCCAGAGCTTTTTAATTTGACTCGAGAGAAGCCGACGGCAGCAAAGACCCAGAGTTCCCTCAGGTCCAGGGCACAGAAATAGATTTTTAAAATCATTTCAACTCTGCAGGAACTGGGATTTAAAATTCCCTAAACTGTGTTTATTTGAAACTGGGTTCCAGAAAGCAAACATCCCAAGTTGCCACCGTTTCATTCTCCTGTGGCGATGACGTCATAGACCCACCTAGAACCTGATCTTCAGCCCCAACGATGACCAGTCAGCTGCTCGTGTTCATGCTGCTGTTGCACCGTATTGTGTACATCTTGGATCTTTAGTGCACCGTTTAGCGTTCGTTTAGCGTATATCTTAGATCCTTATTTACCGTTTCTTTTTATATGTTATATTTAGCTATTTTTGGATGTAACTGGGACCCCGTGTACACAGTTTTGTTCCGTCTCATGTAGCACGTGTGGTGGAAACGACAATAAAGTTGACGTAAACTTGCAGACACGCGGTTCTGAACCTCACTAAACCCTTCAGATTCTGAGCAATGGAGCTAAAACCTTTTATTTATTTATTTATTTTTCTTTCGACTGCTCCCTTCTTCAGGGGTTGCTAACTCACACAAAGACTTGGCAATTGTTTTTGTTTGTTTGTTTGTTTTTTATGCTGGATGTCCTTCCTGACACGACCACAGACCACCGAGCTACCACAGCCCTCTGTGTGGAGCATCTAGTGCACCTGGAGGAGCAGATGGTGGGCGTTAAGGGCCTTGCTCAAGGGCAAATGAAGTTGGAAGCGGGTGTGGGTGTTTAACCTTTCTCACTCACATTTTGATGGTGTCGGTCCGGGGAGTTGAGCTGGCGACTTTCCAATCACAGGCTCACCTTCTCTAACCTCTGTGCCACCACTCCCTCAGGCTACAACGAGCTCGTAATTACTTTTAGCAACTCTTTTTTTTTTTTTTGCCACAAATCTGTCCTTTTTAGATTTTAGCTATAGTTCTGCTAGTTGTAGCTGAAATGCTGCTTCTTTCAGCTTTAGCATTTTTTACATGATTTTAATATCTGTTTTATTTCAATAATAATTTAGGTAATATTAGATTTAACATCTGTTTAGCTACTTTAATTTACAGTTTTACTTAATTTAGCTTCTGTTTTGCTCATTTTAGCTGTTTCCTTTGTTAGTTTTAACTTGTTTTTTTAATCCATCCAACCATTATCTTTACCCGCTTCTTCCATTTTGGGTCACGGGGGTCGCCGGTGCCCGTGTCTGGCAATCCCTGTGCGAGGGGCGGGGGACACCCTGGACAGGTCCCCAGTCCATCACAGGGACACTTGGAGACAAACAACCATTCACTCTCTATCTCACCTAGGGACGATTTAGAGTTACCAATCAGCCTAACATGCATGTTTTTAGTCTGTGGGAAGAAACAGGAGTATCCGGAGAAAACCCACGCATGCACGGAGAGAACATGCAAACTCCACCCATAAAATCCCCCAGACCGGGATTTGAACCAGGAACTGCTCGCTGAGAGCCAGCAGCTGTACCAGTTGCACCACCGTGCTGCTCGTTAATTAAACCTTTATTTATACACGTTAGTCTCATTGAGACTAACTTATTAACTCATATTATTATTAAACCAAACTAAACTATGGCTAAAATCTTTATTATCACACCAAAATAATCTAAACACAGGAAGTTTGTTTCACTTTAGTGAACGTTACTAAAGCAAATACTGAAATAAAACCTACGGTGTACTTCAAGTATACACATTTAAAAATGTGAGAGGGTTAGTCTTAAGATGAACCCTTTTATGAGGAGATCCTCAATTTGTCCTTCATGTCCATCAATGTGGACGGACCCGTCTTCCAGTCAACTGTGTAGACCCTTCCTGGTCCAGGTTCAGGTTTTGTTCTTGTTCTGCATCCTTGTCATGTTCTTGTTTCCTGTTTCTGATGTTGTTTCACGGCAGCGCCACCTACAGGCCTGCAGAGTCACTGCAGAGTTTGGGTTGGTTCTGCGTGGATGGAAGCATGTCTAGAGGTGGTGCCATGTTCACAAGGAAAAAGACGCGGTGCTCCCGTGTGGACGGGCCCATCGTGTCTGTCCGCTTGTTTTTAGTTCTTCCTGTGACTGGGACTGACAGAGGTCCACTTCAGTTTTTGCCTTCTCTAGTTTAGGGACCAAAGGTTCTAGATTTCTGCAAGCTGCCATCAATCAGATGCTAAAATGCTTCACCAGCTGTAGGAGTAGATCTGAGCTGAAGAGGAACTCCTGTCGGTCTTTTTTTAGTAAATTACATTTTGAAGGCTTTCGGTGCAGCTGCTGCCCACACATTCTGATAAAAGAACCGTAGAACCAAGATTAAAACGAATGTTAAATTCTCACGTGTTATTATCATTATTCAGCTGTCACGAAGACGCCTCCATAAAGCCTCCGTGTTAATCTGTGGTTGTGGAAGAAGCGTTAAAGATGGAAAAACAGCAGTTCAACTCTCTGACCCGTTTGAACTCTGACTGAAGGTTCGGCTGTCTGAGCTGCAGGTCCGGACGGAACTGGTTCAGCTGTTTGTGGTGTTCTATGGAAACATCACTGTTTCTTGTGAATGTTGTCTACACTGAGCAACATGTCGGCTCACAGTTCTGATATATTCCCGTCAACTTTCACATGTTTTTGAGAACAAATTTATTCCAGATTCAACGTGGACATGACGACAGCTTCCAGATCATTGATTAATTTAAAGTTTGATTCATAGCAGCTGGGTTTGAATGAAATCTGTGCTCATGCTACAATCTGTAGACCTTAACTTGCATTTTGGGAGGGGTGGCTATTTCAGCTAGCTACTAGCTATTTTGTGCAAATTTTAGCTTTTTTTTTGCCTAATTCCACATTTTCTATACTCCTTTCAACTTTTTAGCCTAATTCAGCAAAAGTGTGCTCTCTCCCCTTCCTTATAATTTCAGCTTCTTTCTGCCTTTTTAGCTACTTTGCTGTTTTTTTGTTGTTGTTGCTAATTTCAGTTTTTTTCAGATAATTTCCACTTTTTGTGCTTATTTCTGTTTCTTTCAGCAAACATTCTTTCTGCTTTCTTCAGCTAATTTAAGCTTGTTCTACCCTTTCAGCTACTTTTTAAGCATTTTAAGCTAATTTCAGCTGTTTTCAGATAGTCAATTTTTTTGTTGTAATTTCAGCTACTTTAAGCCTAATTAACTTCTTCCTGCTAATTTAAACTTATTATGCTCCTTTCAGCTTTTTTCTGCTAGTTTAATCCATTTCTGCTGTTTCAGCTACTACCGGTAATTCACGGTTTATGTGCTAAATTTGGCATTTTCAGCTAATTTCACAATTTATTTTAGCTTATTTCAGCTCCTTCCACTTCCTTCTGGTTGCTTAAGCTTCTTTCACTCTCTTCAGCTACTTTTTGGCTATATTTTGCAAAATTCAACTTTTTTAAAGCTAATTTCCTAATTTTTGTGCTATTTTCTGCTTATTTAAGTCCAATTCTGCAAATATGTGTTTCTGCCTTTTTCTAAGTTTGGCTTGTTCTTCCATTTCAGAATATTTTGTTTAGCAAGTTCTTCAGCAATTGGCATCCCCACTGCATTTTTGCAGGAAATGCAGTTTCTGTAGTTTAACAGTACTTTTCTCTTTTTTTTTCTGCAGGCCAGGTGTACAGAAGAATTTGCAGTAGAGGAAACGGCTTCATCTTCGTAGTTCTCTGCATTGGTCCCATTTTTCCCACAGCATGGCATCGTCTCCTGGGCTGAACGCTGACCCGTTACCCATGCTTCAGCTCCAGGAGGCGGACTCCAATAAGGCTTCAGAGAGGCAGACCTCTCCAGGACTCCTGCCCACCATGTATAGTCCTCCCCTGGGGATAGACAGCCACACCGTCTGCATTCCATCTCCATACACTGACAGTGGCCATGACTACAACCACGGACACAGACCCTTGACTTTCTATGGTCCACCTGTTCTGGGCTACACCAGACCCCCCATCACCGACAGTCCGACATCCCTGTGTCCCCCTTTAAGCCCCTCAACCTTTTGGTCCTCCCACAGCCACCACAACGTACCCTCTCTGACTCTGCACTGCACCCAGCCTCTGGTCTACAGTGAACCTGGACCACATCCAGCCTGGCTCAATCCCAAATCCCACAACTTCAACCCCAACAGGTAGGATCACATACTCTCATCATTGGCTGAAATAACTTAATGAGTCCGATCACAAATAAATACTCCCTGACAAAAAACAGAGAACCAGAGGAAGAGGGGAAAGGAAATTAGATTAACGTACTGCCGTGGTTACAGTTTCAGATTGAAAGGATTACTGACTTGGTAACACAATGCTGGTTCAAGGTCAGTAGGGCGTAGCATCCTGGCTCAGATACACCCACCTGGGTCACCCGTCCTGGCTCAGATA